GATGAGCCAGCATGGAGATTATGTCAATGCTGTTCTCATCACAGAAGACCTAGATACAAAAACCAAATCAGGATAAAATAATAGATCGTAATGCCACAGCCTGGGACCTAGTGAGGGTAGGCATTCAATAGCAAATCTCCCAGTGGCAAACCTTGGAATTCTGATTCCTCTGGATAAATAGTGCTGTATTTTCAAAGGGCTGGCTGGGGAGGAGGTGATGCAGGGGAAAACAAAAAAGAAACAGTGTGGAAGCACGGCTACCGTCTTCTTCGGCTCCTAGTGCCAGGTTAGCAATTCTCACTTCAGAGATATTAGAGCCACTAATTGGGAGCCAAGTTTGCCACCTGGCCAATTAGCTATTTTCCATTGGAACTTAGTGCCATGAGCAAAAAAAAAACACCACAGGTTGTGCACAGGATGAGGCTGCAAAATTAATCTGGATGTCAGTTTGCCAGCCTATGTTAAAAAGTCACGGCATTGTATTTTCAAATCAAGTAGCAGCAAACATGCCACAAAACTTTACAACTTCCATTCATATCAGTGTTTAGTATATAACATCATGGGCTGAATCTTATTTTGTTTTGGCTAAGTGCAAACAAATCAAGTTTTTTTTGGAGCATATTGCTTACGTAACTTACCAACCGCTACTTCTAACTACTTAACCTAGGCTAGGCATCCCACACTTTAAATTCTATTCCAATCTTACCACATGCTGTACTAGAACAACTTGCCACTGACATTTGAAAGACTGACATTTCTTGAACCTGTGCCATCTTTAAAAGACCACTGCGCACTTGGACAAGCATTGGCAATCTGGCATTGCCTGTCACAGATTGCATAATGGCACAGCAATCACAAAGCTCATGGACCATAGCCAGCACTCTTGACACTGCCTCATGTACAAACCCAACCTCTCGCCCTCACTACAATTTAAACACTGCACCATCCAATTTACTTGTCTTTAGCTATATTCCTTCTAAATACTCTTGCTAAGTCACTACTACTATGTCCCAAAATGTCCACTGGACAGCTGCATCTTGTCAAAGTCCAGTGGGAGAACATCGATACAGGCAATCTTTGGAAAATTACACATAAATGAACGCAGCCGAAACCAATAGAGGCTGCAGTTTGCCCCCACAAATGATCATTACTTTGATTATCATGCCAGCATTTAGTTGGCAAAGACTGTTTTGTATTCCATTATCTTCAGCACCCAGCTCTTAGCTACTAAAAATTCATATCAATGGAGTCCTGCCAGGCTTGTAGCTGAGCTTAGTCATGCACAACGTCATATTCTTCCAACTCCACAACCTCATTTTTCTCCTTGGAAAATTGCTCCCATTCCCCTGGCTCAGCATCGATCACATTGCATTGCTTCCCGATTCCACAGTGCAGAACACAACACCAAGATAATGCGGTACACCACCCTGATGATACTGAAGGGCACTCCACAGACGGATGCAATTAGCAGAACTGCACCTTCAGCCCTATCATTAGAGATCTACAACATGAAATAAAGACATTTCGGTTGATTGAATCCCCAGGTTTAAAAAAAACCCTAACTATTCTAATACTGTTTTTTCCAGCACTTGGCCATTAGCCTTGTATGCCCAGGTAGGCAGTGAGTGAGCGAGCACTGAGAGAACAACTGTGTGACCCCAAGATGCAGCCTGCTCCAATCTGTAAGCTTGCTGCCTATCCCTGTGCACAAAGTGTTCCCGCTGTAGGCTTTCAATGCTAGTTGTCAGCTGATCCTGCAATGAGTGCCTATGCTTCCTAGGCAGTCTGCAAGTTGATCGGAGAGATGGCATGATAGCTGTGAGGAGTTGGCAAATGTCAGATGGCAATGTTCACAGATTAGGATTGTGGGTAATTGCTGGCTGTGGATCCTGCCCTGAGATGCCATTAGTTGTTAAGCAACACAGAAGCTGGTCACTGCCAGTGGTAAGATGAAGTAGACAGTGCCAGTTCAGATCTCCATGTTGAGAATTTGTTGTGTCCAGCTTGCATGGCATGTTGGTAACATAGGAAGTGGAATATTAATGAAGTAAGCTACAGCATTAATAAGTCATTTAACAAGCTCTAATTCTCCCTCAATTACTACTACTTGGCAAATGCAAGAGGATACGAGTTGCTCCCGATGTCAAGATAGGCCTTGCTAGACTTTTCGTCAAAATCTGCCAGAAACATCACCAAAGCTTAATTGCTCAGGCACCTACAAGATTCAGTCCCACATGTTTTCTCCAGGTACTTTCATTATTTCAGCTCTACTTCTCTGCAACAAAATAAGTAACCAAGACAGACATGGTTGAAAGTAGGGTAATTTAATACAAAAGCTCTCAAGCCACTTCGAAAAGAAACCAGCTGGAAATTGTCATTGAATGTGTAGAGACTATGGAATATATGAAGTCACTGATTTTCCGAAGCACAGGGCTTTATTTTCCATCTCTAATCACACTCATTCACTTCTCCTTCCACTATCTACATACATTCAAGCACAACACCAGACAATATTAAATATCATGCAAGCAATAGATGAATTAAGCAGCTAACATTTTAATTTGTGTCCCTTTTTAGAACTAGGTCTCAGTACAAATTTGCATACCCCACAATCACTGCTCAAAAGGCATTAAGGATGGTTTTGCATAGCAATTTTAGCAGGGAATCCAAATGAAGCACTAAAACACAAGGAAAAGCAAGTAAGAGATTAGGCACTGATGAGGATTACTTCATCCCTGATTCTGAAAAGAACAGTAAAAAAAAGTTATAATGAAGTCAGTCAGAAAGCTATGTGCTGCAGATCATCATTGCAGTCCAATGAAAACCTTTTCTCTATAATTTAGTTTTCTGTGGCATTTATGTTGTCATTTGTCTTCTGACAAACCTCCCTTCCTGGTGGTCTGATACAAACAGAAAAAAGGAAAAAATATTCCAAAAAACTAAGAAATTTATTTAAAAAATGAATTCAAAAAGCATTGGCCTAAAATACAACGTGGAGTCCCTTAAAAGGTTTGACTTTTACCTGCAGTGAAAGAAAAGTACTTCCAGCCAAACATCAGGAAAATGAGGCAATTAAAATGCCCTCGTTGACATACAGCATGTGCAAGAAATGAGGCATTCACTTGAAACAAGCTGCTGCAAATTATTCAGGCCCAAATGGAAATTACTAACAGAACTTCCAGCAGGGAACAGCCTGCACTGTTCAGCAGCAATATTCCTGGCTATGCACATCTCATTCCACCTGGTGGTGGCAATTTCCTTAATTCAATTTTTAATATACACAATGTAAAACTTTTTACATTGACTTTCTGCCAATTAAGGTAATCTCAATTTAGTTCCTATTTGCTGCCTACTTCAATGCTGTTCTTATTTGTACTTTTTTTAAAAAATACTCTCAGCACAAGAATCTAACTAGGATCCCACTGCATATCACTTGCTCAACTGGTGGGCTGGACATTAGAACACAAAATGATTAGGTTTAAGTCTACCAGTTGGGTACACAGAGACAATGAACAATGCTCTTCCCCACCACACCACCAGCCACAACCCTCAGCCCCACCTCCTTGCTGAAAGATTAGGTAAAAACCATTTATTAGTGTATCACAACATACACAGTTAGTTAAACAAGAAACAAAAAGTCCAATGTTAAGGCTAAAACTATCCATATTAAGTTTCAATAAAGTACAATATGAAATTCAGTTCCTGTGCAATCCAATTGAGCAAAAAATACAGACAATTGTTATGTGAAAAATCAATATGATTAGTTCCTTGATGTAAGCAGTGCTCATCATTAGAAAGATTGCAGCCCATTGTAGATGTTTGTCTAAAACACTACAGTCATCAATAAAAGCAAACTATATCTGCTTTCTTCTACCTCATTACCAGAATTTATTTCACTTGTATTCTAGCCATAGCAAACACACCACCAGATCTTGCAGATATGAATAAACATTTTCCTGTATATGTTTGCTTCAAAATTAATCAAACATTTCTACCTAGATATGGGAATACAGCCATGTGAAAGGTACTTGTTCAGTAACACTTCTGAAAAAACAAAAGCTACAACTTTAAAGAAGATTCTGTGCCATAAATTTGGTCTGAGCTTTTGGCTTAAACTGAATGAAAACAACAGATCTGACCAAATGTTCATTTTACAGAAGCAGAATTTTGGCCTAAAACAAAAAGATATTGAATTCAGAGAAAGACACAAGCTCCCAAATTCAGTTCCTAAATTGAGTGCATTGAATGTTCCGATGTACCTTGCAGGAGTGGCACAATGCTACTTCATTCCAGGTTAAGGAAAGGAAAATCAGCTAATAGTTGTTGCTCCTGTTACAATAAAGCAACTCCACCGCTGGAAAGTGCTAGCATAGATCTTGGACCAGTTTCGGGCTTGGCCACAAGGTCTTCTCCAACAAAAACATATTATACCAGAATTTTAGGTCAGGCATGAGGAATGGACATTTCTGGATGATGTATCAGAGCATGACTGTTCCCTACAGTACAGCAGCAGAGGACAACCAAGGATTGAAGGGAGTCAGGGTAAATAGAGTTCACAAAATAAAAAGATACATGATCAAGTTACTTGATATCAGACTGGTAATCTTTGCAAATGTGTTCAACACCAGAAAAGCTCAGCAGGTCTGGCAGCATCTGTGAAGAATAACACTTCCCTGGATCTAGGTTGGAGGAAGGGTTACTCGACCCAAAACGTTAACTCTGATTTCTCTCCACAGATGCTGCCAGACCTGCTGAGCTTATCCAATAATTTCAGTTTGTTTCTGACTTATAGCATCTGCAGTTCTTTCAGTTTTTATTTTTCCAATACCACTATTTGTTTGAAGTCCTTTGCTAAGGATTTATGATGCAGCCCAATTTGAAACAAGTAACAAATATCAGTTCTCCACGTGTGGCTTTTCTGCTTCTAGGTATGGCTTGGATACTAACTGAAATTTAAATTATGGCACGCAGTCTCAGTCAGAATTCAGATCTCAAAAGGCAAAAACAAAAAACTTTTTTTTTTAATTATTTTTAAATATAAAAAATCCAGAAGGCACATGTTTAAAAGCTTATACTCTGGAATTGGGATACACAGCTACGACTTCATATCCCTCTGGAGGCTGCACTCTTGCTTTTGCATGGGTCTCACAGTATAGTTGCTCTTCGATGAAAAAGTAGCCTTTCTGCTTCAGGTTTAATCCACAGTCAGAACACATGAAACACGCTGGGTGGTACAATTTCTCTCGTGCCTTAACCACAGCCCCACTGGAAAGAGCAAAACAAAATGTCAAAACAAAAAGACAGTTAAAGGAGAAATGATTCAGAAGAATAAACCAAAATTTTCCTTGTTTTGTGGAATAAATTAGAAAAGCCAAAACTAATACAAGGCATATTTGTTTCACACTTCTATTAGTGAACGTAGTCAACATCAAGTTGAAACATTCAAATGTGTTCTGATTGAACCTGATGTTGCAGTGGTTTCAGTCAGAAAAAGATGAAACTTAATCAAATCTTGGGTGAAAAGGGCTTAAACGCTACCATTTGAGATCACAGAAGTAAACAAGAGCTTTTCAAACATTTCAAATCAAGCCGGCGGCTTTGATCTGGACAACGTCAAGGTTTTTGAGTGTTGTCAGAGCTGCACTCCAGAAGACTATTAAGATACAGAAGCAGAATTAGGCTATTCTATCATGGCTGATCTGTTTCTCAACCCCATTCTCCTGCCTTCTCCCTGTAATCGTTGAACCCCTTACCAATGAAGAACCTAGCTCTGTCTTAAATACACTCAATGGCTTGGCCTCCAGATTTCTGTGGCAATGAGCTCCACAGATTCACCGCTCTCTTATTTCAGTTCCAAAGGAACATCTCTTCATTCCAAGGCTGTGCCCTGAAGTTTTAGTCTCTTACTAGTGGAAACATCTCCATGTCCACTCTATCCAGGCTGTTCAGTATTCTGACAGTTTCAATGAGAATCCCCCCTCATCCTTCTGAACTCCACTGGATACTGACTCGGAGTCCTCAATCACTCCTCATGTGGCAAACCCTCCATCCCTGAGATCATTCTTGTAAACCTCCATTGAAATCCCTAAGGCCAGCACATCTTTCCTCAGATACTGGTCCAAAAAAACTGCTCACAATATTCCAAATGTGGTCTGACCACAGCCTTTTACAGCCTCAGCAGTACATCTCTGCCTTTGTGTTTCAAGAGAGCTAGAATACACATGCTAACATTGCATTTGCCTTCCTAACTGTTTACTGAGCCAGCACGTTAACCTCAAGACAGAATTCTGAACTTGGACTCGCAAGTCCCTTTGTGCTTCACATTTCCGAAGCCTTTCCCCTAGACTATGCCTCTATTCTTCCTACCAAAATGCATAACTATATTAATATCCCACATCAATCCCAAAATGTTGGCAAGAACAGTGAGAAAATGAGTATTTCATCACAACACTGTGTGAAAATCAAACAGCTGCTCTCCATCATTGTTATGGAGCCACAACATTTTAATAACATTGAAAGAGGCCATTTGGCCTAACTGGTTTGGCTAGTCATCAAACATCTATCCATTTATGTCCCATTTTCCTGCACTCGGATCATAGCCTTATATGAAATGACATTTCAAGAGCTCATCTAAATAGTTATTAAAGGTCTTGATAGTTCCTACCTCCAACCTTTTAAGGAGCAACTTCCAAATACTCAACCTTCTGGGTAAAAAACAAAATTTCACAAAATTGCCTCTAAACCTCCTGTGCCTTACCTTAAAGGTGTGTTCCCTGTTTGTTGACCCCTCTAAGAGGGGAGGTTTCTCCCGTTCTACCTGGTCTTTACCCCTCAACCTTCTCTGCTCTAAAGAAAACAGACCCAGCTTATCTAGTCTCTCCTGGTACGCGAATCGAACCAGCCCAAGCAACAACCTGGTGAATCTCCTCTTCACTGTCTCTAGTACAATCACAGTGATCCCATAGTGTGGTGACCAGAACTACTCCAGCTGGGCCAAACTAAAGTTATATATGGCTCCATAATACCCTACCTGCTCTTGACTAATAATGGCAAGTTTTCCATATACCTCCTTAACTACTTTATCTACCTGTCCCACTGCCTTCAACACTCCACTGCAACGCATACCACATACTCAAATTAACATTTTCTTGAAGGTGTTGAACTAAATCGCAGCAACCAAGCTTCCACTCATTAAAGAGTCTGAGTTTACACACTTGCAGGCTATCAATAATGAGAACCACTGTGGCCAAACCTAAAATTATTTGTCATCCCCCACATGGATCACAAGATGCAGTTGAGTTCAGAAACTCAAAAACTAGCTTTTCTTTACAAGTTCAGGCTAGCATCATACGACTGAGTTCAGCCAAATTAGCACGCACCAAACTTAAATGTCCTACTGAAGCTCTTCATACTTACACTATGCCAGTCTCACATCTAGTGCACTGTGGTAACTTCTGTAGTGTGGGTGCAGAACTGTTGAACTTTGTTACTGGAGATTTTACACTTTTGGTGATAGCTGGCCTTTCACTTTTCTCACCTACAAGAAATTTTACAGGAACATATTTAGAACTGAATTGAGGTTTGGATTTTACATGCTAGGAGTTACAAGTTACAGTTCAAAAAGTGTACACATATCAAAAAGGTAGCCCAAAAGTGGCCAGTTCCCAATCATGCACTCCATGTTTAAACCGCAGGGTCTATTTGGTTAAAGCATGATTTTCTATTAAATAGATAATTTGCATACTGACAACATAAATTTATCACAATGTTCACAATCACTTTCAATTAGCAACTTCAGCAATGCAGCAGAAAATATAAAATCTACCACAAAGCTGTGAAAATCATTAAGGAGTTCCAGTAATGTTCTGAAGTAGTCATAATTACAATTTGGAGTTTTAAAAACATGGCCTGAAACATTGGTTGGGAAATTGAGATTCCTTTTGGTTACACATCAACCACATAAAGGACTGACAGAATTGACAGAGGTTCCCTATGGGGAAGGGTCAATGGAATCAAACACCTTTCAGGCAACTTAAAGTGGCCACCAGCAGGACTTTTCTGCAAACGAAGTCCCCCTCAGCAGCAGTAGTGCCACTAGCTTAGAGCTATTGGCCAATAGGAGGCCAGCTACTCTTCATCCCACAAACACCAGTGGAATCAATGGCTTCTGGTCACAATGCACCATGTCTAGCAGATGGGGATCCACCAGGATCCCAGGTTCATCAGGTACACTAGGCCAAAAGGTAAGTAAGTAAGGTGATGGGGGGGCGGGTGCGGGTGGGGAAGCAATGAACGACAGTCATGGGGTGGATGGCAAGTCACGAGGCAAGGCAGTGTATGGCTTTCAGAGGTTCAGGGTCCACTCTCCTGCATGGTGACAGCTGTGTCAATTTGGCACAGTTCCTTATCACAAAGGATCACTAACAGTCCAGAAGGTCAATGACAATCCCCATAGCGGCCTTCCAAAAGGTACAGGATGGCATGCTACTCCTATTGAATTTCTAAGCAACCATTCAGTTGCAACAGGTGCCAGTTTAATGAGTGACACTGGCTCATTTAGGAACCTAAATTAACAATCACACAAGCTGGTACCCAGGAATCCCATAATAGTTCTCTCATGTACATTTTTGGCCACTGCAACTGGCTGCATTCAATTCAGAACTTTCAACTCCACACCAAACAAAGTCTGACAGCTGATTTCCAAAAAAAAACACAAAAAGCCCAAGAGAGATCTAGTGATCTCTAACAAAAACTTTGCCACTCTTGCTATGAACTTCTTTGTTGGGGATTCTATGACTGTAGCTGGAGTGATGTCATCAAGTTGTCCAAACAGCCAATCACATTAAAAATAAACCTAAAGAAAGCAAGAAGTGCTGATGCTGGAGTCAGAGACATCAGTATGGAGCTGGAGGAACTCAGCAGGCCAGGCAGTAAATTGATGCTACCTGGCCTGCTGAGCTCCTCCAGATCCATACTGTGTTGTCTCAAAAATGAACCCAAGGCAGCCAACCAAAAAGAAAACCACTAAAATCAAGTGGTTTCAAACAAAAAAAAAGTGCACATAACAAGGTAAAGATTGGGATACTTGCAGTGAAGGTAGAAGCTGAAATATAATGAAAACCTTTTGAAATAAAAATTGTTCACCGAATTTCGTAATCAGGTTTCAAGTAATTTCAGGGACAAATCTGTTCTTCAGCAACACTTGCTGTTCTGAATGCCATTGAAAACAGTTATTCATTCATGAGAGGAGGGTGTTGCTGGCCACACGAGCATTTATTGCCCATACCCAAATGCCCAGAGGGCAGTTCGGAGTCAACTACATTGCTGTGGGTCTGGAGTCACATGTAGGCTAGACCAGGTAAGGATGGCAGTTTCCTTCCCTAAAGTGCATTAGTGAACCAGATGTGTTCTTTTTTGGACAATCGACAATGGATTCATTGTCATCATTAGACTCTTGATTCCAGATTCTCTTTCTTGAATTCAGATTCCACCACCTGCTGTGGTAGGATTTGAACCCAGGTCCCCAGAAAATTAGCCGAGTTTTTGGATTATTGGTCTAGCGATAATACTACTAGGTCATTGCCCCACTGTCTGTTTGAAGGTGTAATGCTTTATAAGGTTTCCGTCTGGGGTGGAGGTGTGCCGGGTTTAGCAAGGGAGGTCTGTTCAATACATCATGTGACAGTGAGGTGAAGGATAGAGTTATGCATTTGCTTGTACTAGATTCTGAAGACAGCCCAGTTTCTAAACTTGAATGACAGTGAAAACTGACAGTTCACCATAAAAACACCTCACCAAATCTAGGCCAATGAGTATTAGCTCCTGATGTTGTGGTTGAAGGAACCTCGGAAGTGATCACCTGGCTAGCGGACCAGAATTACGACTTGTTAAAAACAATTAAGTACAAAGAACAAAGTACATTCTTGAATAATAAAGTTCTCACATTAGATAATAAGGACCAGAGAAGCGATGAAGAGTCAGTTGCTTTCAACAAACTGTGCAGAGTTTGCAATTGCACGTGTTCAACAACTGAGAGCGCAACATTTATTCCCACTTTTGGTCATTTGAAAGAATCAAAAAAGGTGGTGAAAGAGACCTTCATCACTGCTGCTCTCTGAAAATCTGCCGTGACCAGTTTTCCTGATCAATTACAATAACATACTTTTCATTCATTTGCACCTTTCTAAGTTCGTTGCTGGGTTAATTTAGTGAGTGCAGCTTGGTGGAGGTCTGGAATATTTGATGCACACACAGCTGCCAATGGATAGGTGGCAGCAGCAATGGGGTGGTGTTGATTGGTGGGGGAAAAAAAGAAAGAGAAAGAGAAGAAGGAAAAAAAGGAAGAGAGTGGGCTCAAACTGTTTTCTCTTAATTCCTTCAGCCAGGTCAAGAGAAATACCCATAGGAGTGGGACGGCTTGGGAAGGATGGATGTGCGAATCAGGATTAAGGAAGCAATATTGTAATAAAAGTTTTATTGCATGTGTCCTATGTATCTCAGTTAGTTGTTAGGTCAGTTTATAGCTATCTGAAATTTGAAATACATTTTTTTTTATTTTAAGACCAACATATCGAATTTTGAATGTTTAAAGAGCTAGCAAAAAGCAATTTCATCATAAGATACAAAGGCCTATCCTTCATTCATTTACTCGGTATTACCTGTCTGCTCTGCCTCCAGCAGGCCCTGTAGTATTTTGAAAGATCCAGACTGTTTAGGTTCTGAAGCTGGCTCCTCACCATCCTGAAGCATCTTATAAACATCTGATTCAGTGTCAACCTCATTCCACAGCTTTGGTGATAACTTTGGTGGATCAGTGCTGTTTGAAAACAAAAACCTTTGGCATTAAATATGGGGAAATCAATTAACACAACTGGATTTGGAGATTAGATTTCTACAATTGATTAGATTGAAATGAACCAAAATTATTTTCCATCCTGCAATTCTGAAAAAATGATAACCCATGTACAACAATGGCACTCTTGTATGGGAATGTGCAGATTTTTCTGTAAATCTGCTCACCCAATTCTGTTGCATTGCAGCATCTGTTATATCGCTGAAACCATTAGAGACTCATTAGCAAAAGAGATTGACACGAGATGAATCCCTCCCCAAATAGGCAACAGCGACACACAGGTGGTTAGAAGACAGCGAATAAGCCAGCCAGTCAACTAAGAGAAAGTCTAAAGAGGAATTAAAATCCTGTGAATACTGGAAATATAAAAAGGAAATGAATCCTCAATTGTGGAGACAGCAACAGTGTTAAGTGTTTCAGGTTGACGACTTCCCATTAGAAATACAAAATCAGAAATTTAATAGTTTATAAACAAAAACCAGGCAGAAATGTTGGGAGAGGGCAGAAATAAAAATGGGAAATCTGCTACAGGGTAGAGAAGCAAGAGAAATTACATAACACGAACGGCAGTATGAGGGGAAAATGGGGTGGTGATTGGACAATTGTTGAACAAATGTGGGCTCAGGGAGGTGCAAGAGGTACAGTAGAAATCAGTACTCCAGCGCACACTGTAATCACCATTTCTGTTCTTGGGCAATCTAAATCTGTTGAAATCAAAAAAGATGAAGATGCAAGGCTGTAATGCACTTAAAAGAAGAGGTGTCATTCCTACAGTTTGTGTTGAGCTTAAATAAAATAACGTAGAGGGTCAAAGAGATCAGAATGGAATGGATAATTAAAGAAAATAAATCAATCAATCACAAGTTCAGGCTCATCCACGCATACTCAATGCTTTGGTGAGCAAATCCAGTCACTTGATGGGTGTTTGGCTTCCTCAGTGTACGGGAGACTGGATTCAAAACAGCAAATACAGTTCATGAAATTAGAAAGATTGGTACAGGAGTATGCCATTTAGCCCATGGGTGGTTTCATGTTTTGAGACCAGTTGCAGAGGTGGGGTTAAAAGAGAGAAGGGGATTTTAGCTTGGGGTGGATCAGGTTCTCATTGATAAAGCTCTTCACAGATCATTACTTATTTGCGCCCAGGTAAAATGCCCACTTTATTGGTAGGAAACTCTGTTGTGGTGTTCCGAGTTCCAATCTCCAGGCTGTATACTTAAGGAGGCACCCAGACAGGGCTCGATTCTCTAAAACCAGACAGCATCACTCAATCTCTGCTCATTATCCCCATCCTCTCCTGGAGATGTCAGAGACCAAGCAAAAGGTAGAAATGCATTTTAGCAATGCTTCCCTAAAAGTTCTCCTGAAGTTTGTCTAGGAGGAGGGAAGTTCTTTTTCCTAGGAGGCAACAGAAGGCCACCCCGACAGGCAAAGGCAGCCTAGAGAGGGGTGTCTGTGGATGTCACCGCTGAAAACACTGAACCACCTTTCATGCGGAAATCTTTTAACAATGACTGGCATGTGGTTCAGCTTGAAAAGAGGCATCAGGGATCTCCCACTGACAATTCAGCTGGTGCCAAGACACCTAATACCATTAAATTTCACCAAGAGAGAAGAGGTGACGGGGAAAAAGAAAATTCAACTGTAAACTTGCAATTTTGATCACCTTCAACATTAGTACGAGCTCAGCTCATTAAAGGAATTGTAATAAAATCCAATGAGTTATTTTAAAAAAAACAAACAAACAGTCAGATAGGCTGGGATTTTCTTTTTTCTTTTAAAAAAAAAACTGGCGCCTAGGAGTTTGATGTGTGACCTTATAGAGGTTTATAAAGTCAAGAGGGGCATAGCAAAGATCTTTTCCCTATGGTGGGGGAGTTCAGAACCAAGAGGCATATTTTTAAACGGGAGAGGAGAAAGTTTTAAAAAAAAGGATGAGAGGCAACTTTTTTTTTTATTTTACACAGTGGTTTGTGTGTGGATCGAATTGCCAGAGGATGAGATGGATGCAGATACAGTTACAGCATTTGGATAAGTACATGAATAGGAAACATTTGGAGGAATTTGGGCCAAATGCAGGGAAATGGGGTTCATTTAGTTTGGGAACATGGTCAGTGTGGACTAGTTGGACTGAAGGGCTGTATGACTCGACGATGTCTCAAGTTGACCTCAGACATTTGCTGATTTCTGTCAAGGTGCAATAAAATGCCGATTTTTGATCTTGTTGGCAAGGGTTTGAGGGATGAGTGGAGCAAACTGGCCAGATTTCCCTGCCCTAAATGAATCCTTGCCGCAAAGTGTGTACATATTAAATGTTGTGAGGGGACAGGACCAACCTAAACGTTACCAGTGATTGAACAGCCTGCCAACATTTTACAACTGAACTCACATGGAGAGGTAATAGAGGGTCACCAAAGAACTGAACAATAAGTCCCTTGTTCAGGATATGATGGAAAGCTGGCAGAAGGATGACTAGAATTAGCAGGGCAAACAATTTTATTTACTTGTGGTTCACATGATATAAAAAGGAATTGATGAGAAAGAGCCAAGGGCAGAACTTGTATAAACTCACTTACAACTATCAAGTCGTTAAATTGTAAGACAATATTCAAAAACACTTTTATTTGGATTTCTACGTTACCGTAGAACCTCTAGAGTGTGGAAGCAGCACATTTGGCCCAATAGGTCCACAATGACCCTCCTAAGAGCACCCCAACCTGACTCAACCCCCTACCTAGCCCTGTAACCCTGCAGTTCCCAATCACTTTCTCCCTGTGTCTGTGCGGGTTTCCTCTGGGGTGCTCCGGTTTCCTCCCTCAGTCCAAACGATGTGTCAGTTAGGTGGATTGGTCATGCTAAATTACCCATAGTGTGCGATTGTCTGCACATCCCTGAGCAAGGGTGGAATTGAACCTCCCTGGCACTGAGATCCCACAGTGCCAACCACTGAGCCGCCATGCCATCCCTATCTATGAAATCTACTTTAAAATTTACAGAAAGGACAGAATTAGTCCAATAAAAATGGAAAACGTTAAGCATCAGTTATCAGGAGAAAAAGATGACATCGGGCACATTGTCCTCTGCTCAAGAATCAGAGACCGCTTCAGGGAAAATCATTCCAACAAAACGCACATCATAAATCCAAATGGAATTGATTCTTAGAGCCGAGTGCATGTTGTGCTCAAGTGTTGGTATTGCTCAGTAAAGTTAAACTTTAATATGTGGAACACAACCTTTGCCAGCTTTCTGTATTTTACAACTGCTTGGGGAAAAATAAACTCAAAGCGTCATTGTTTATTTACTTTCCCCTGCTGAGAGACAGTTCCATGTGGCACCAATCATGCTTCTGAATTGCCATTTTGCATGTGAGCTTAGACAAACAGTGTCAGAAAGCTATTTTACTGCAACAGGCATAATAACTGTGTTCACATCCAACAAATGCACGACACTGGAGTTACCAATTAGTGATCACAAGTATGAAACATTGCCATCTTTTCTGTTACCTAGCTGAGGGATTGAGAAGTCAATTACAATTATGTGATCAGGCAGAGATCTGAACACAAGACCTTCTAGAGCTATAAAACATCTAAAACGCATAGTTTTATTCAAATTCAAGAAATATAGTTTCAATTCTCATGCTGACTTGGAAAGCCTGTCTACTTATTCTCATGAATTGAAAAAAAACAAATAAAGCCTCAGGAGTACAAAAAAAAAAGCAAAATTTTCATTTTGCTGTGTTTACAGATTGTCACTATCAAATTACAAGTAGAAATGGTAGAATTCCTAAGATGGTTTAGTTGGAATAGAGCCATCCAGGCCATAAAGTCTACAGTTCCATTTCTTTTTTCTGGGGGGGCAGGGGTTGGAGAAGAAAGGGTTGTGGAGATGGATTCAAAAATCGACAGTCAATTTCCTGTACATCCCACATATCCAAGTAACTTCAGATACGCAGCATCAACCTTTATTTTTCCAACTTGCCTTTCACTCAACTTTTGACGCTAAAAATAATTCATACAGTCATATAGCATGGAAACAATCCCTTCGGTCCAATTGGTCCATGCCGACCATAATCCCAAACCAAAATAGTCCCAACTGCCTGTGCTTGGCCCATATCCCTCCAAACCTTTTATTCATGTACTTATCAAAGTGTCTTTTAAATGTTGTAACTACACCCACATCTACCACTTCCTCTGGAAGTTCATTCCACACACAAACCACTGTTTAAAAAAAAAAAATGCCCCTCATGTCTTTTTTTTTTTAAAAACCTTTCTCCTTTCACCTTAAAAATATGCCCACTAGTCTTGAAATCACCCAATAAAGGAAAAAGACACCTGTCATTCACCTTACCTATATCCTTTATGGATTTTAAAAAAAGCTATATATAAAAAAAAAGGTCATCCCTCAATCCACTGAAAATGTCCCAGCCTGTCTATCCTCGTCCTATAACTTCCATTCCGGCAACATCCCGAAACATTTTCTGAACCCTTTCCAACTTGATAATATCCTTCCTATAATCGGTTGGCCAGAACTAGACACAGTCCTCCAGAAAAGCCCTCACCAACATCCTGTACATTCTCAACGTGACTTCCAAACTTTAATAAACTTGTGAAAATCAGGTTTTGCAATTAGTTTTGAACAAAATATGTAGTAACTTGTAGTTTCTGATCAGATACTTAGTGGATAGAAAGGAGACTTCCTATAGCTGAATGAAGTTGATAGTACGCAGCTATGAGAAGAACACAATGCTCAGTGAGTTAAAGTGGAGTGAAAGACAAAGCTCTGTCTGGTGACTTTTCCACCATTCCATCACATTTACAAAGAGGATTGGTAATCTTATTTTGCAGTGATCATCAAGATATACTTACTGCTGAGGAGAGGTAACGTGAAGACCACTCAATTGCTTCTGTAAAGTGTGATTTACATTGTCATTAGTATAGAGTGCAGCAGGAGTGTTGTACTGTATACTTGCTGATTGCTTGGCTTCAACCGCAAAAGGCATTGGCTTTCTGTTATTTGAACTTCCAATGGGTCTGTAATCCTGCAGCACATGAAAGGAAAGAAAAGATAAATCGTGGGCTTCATACAGCGTGTAATTGCATTCCTAAGGAATATTAGGTTCTCAATGAATCATTGCATTTTGCATGAACAAGTCACTCAATTCTTCTTTAGCATTTTTCAGGCCAAAGTACTCATGCTTTTATATGGTTATTACATGTGCTGACTAGCTTTTAATCCCCTGTTCCTAATAGAGATCACTAAGGTAAAGTATTGCTTTCCTCTTAATGCCTTCAAAATGAAGAAAGTATTTCAGCCACACATTACTGACAACTATGACAGTAATAAACATCAAAATCAATGCTCTGAGAGTTAAAGCAAATGTCACATGTTATATCTGCAGCTGTCTCTCTTTAACAGAACTGATGGTACTGGAACGACCTAGAAGTTAGTTGGAAAATGTTTAGAAATTACTTCCGCATCCATTAATAATAGCACATTCTGGAAAAGTTAAAAAATGTAAATGATGTGGTTTAAAAAGGTCAAGCATGTGTTCAATGACGCAGTTGGATCAGGCATTACCATATCTTTTAAAAATTTTGGAATATTAATGCTCAGTCTGAGGAGTGACAGTCATGCAGAAAATAATGAAATAGTTTCTCCCTCTACTTTTAGATCTTGTAAAAAAAAGTTTCATGTCTGACACAAGGCAAAGAAAATAGCGCTATTTGTCAATGATCCCAATTTTGCTTTAGCATTTGCCAGTTCATGTTACTAGACAGAGGAGGGGGAACTGGAATTGTAGCCTGTCAACTCAATTTTTGACACCCTATTATTCTTCTTTCTGACTGTCATGCTAGTTAATACTATAACTGGTCTCTCTCCCTACACACTGTCATCTGTCCTTTCAAACCAGTCATCAACTGGTTAAACCCCAATGGAGCCATCAGACATTAAATGCAAATGCTTACCAGTCAACAAATGCAGCCCTTAATCCACTAATAACTAGCACATGAATTTCCTGATCGATGTGAAATTTAAGAACAAGATGTGAGTAGAGTGGGAATTTATTGCTCAGTAAAACAGATCAGCTTGGATGCCTTTTAAAAGAAGTGAAAGCATTTAACTGATTCCTTGCCTAAAAAAATGTATTCATAAGACTTGCTCTGTGAATATGACTTTTCTGCTTTACAATTAATTTCCAATTTGTTCTGCAATGTTGAGCTGTTGGCTTTGATCGCTATTTCCCTACCACCCATCTTCACTGCAGCTTAGGCACCTCTACCTTGGATCGATGATGAGAAACAAGGAAAGCAGTAACACCAACACCACCATGTGCAGCAGCACCAACAAGTGTCTCAGGGGCTCGCATTCAATCACGGCAGACCATAGCCTCCTGGAACATGGCTACCATCTAAGCTGCTCATCACCATCAAAGGTCAAAACTGCCCCAAGTTTCTTCAAAACTAGTTCCTTCCAGCTATCTGCTGGCTATAGCTGTAGAATTTCATAACCTACTGACCTGCAGGAAAATGCCATCTTTGCCACTTACAACTGAGTTGATATTGATCATGCCAGTTAGATGCGTAGGGTTATTATTTCCCATAGAAGCTGTGCATTTTCAGGCAGACAGACTACATGTGACAATCAGGATGCACTCAATCATTTGAAAGTACTTTTTAAAGGATTCCCCTCCATGCTCAGCTAGTATGTGACCACTGGAAGATCTTTATGGAGGTTAATGAAAGATATTCTCAAAACACTGCATCAAATCCTTCATTCTGAAATGGTCACACCCCTTGGAAGTCTTTGCACCTTCAGAGTTACCAGAGGGTTCTTTGGAGAAAAGACTTCCTTCTGATGACAATGGGGATTCCTATCACTAATGCACAAGACTTACAGGAGCCAGATGAAAACAAAAGAGGTTATCATCAAGTAAGCCATCAGGTTGAAGGTGTGATTCAGGTGCTCAGCTGGATCAAGATTGCCCTTCAACATGGAACAACAGGTTTGTCCAGAATGACCTGGCATCCTGACAAAGGAATGAAATAAATAAATAATTAATAAATGGAGCAAGAAAGAAAGAAAGAAAGAAAGAAAATAAAAGGCCATTTAGCCATCAAATGCATGGCTAGTTGACGAGTACCACTTAGATATGCACAGGAAGTGCCATTACCTACAAGGCTCCAGTCCAAGTACTTTTGGAATATGACAGTTTCTGCCTCTACCAACCTTTCAAGGAAGCGCTTTGCAGATCCCACCAATCTAATGGGGAGAAACAAAATTCTTTTGAATCCTTTTTACACCTTCAATCCTATATTTATGCCTTCTGGATTCAAGTCCCTCAAATCAAAGGAAAATAGGGTCTTCCTAGCTACCTTATCTTATATAATTTATAAAATTCAGTCAGGTCTTCTCTGTTCCAAATAAAACAATGCTAGACATCCAATCTTTTCTCATAACTAAAATCTTCCAGTCTAGGTCACAAGTCTCTTCTCCACTGAAATCAGATCTTTCCTTTAGTGCAAAATATGATCTGTAAACGTCTCAATCTTATCCTTAAGATTAAATGTCCAGACATACATAAATCACAAAAAGCAAAGACACAGTATCAAGCACTGAAAACCACAGTGGAGCCAGCCTTCCAGTCACAAAAACACACACAGGCACTATTTAGCTTTGCACCTGCCTCTAAGCCAATTTGGATTCAACTTAGTTTTTTTTGCCTGGATGCCATATGGGACATTTTCTGGTTAAAACTTGTATATAATAAATCAAATTCCCCTTATTATCTCCAAAAGAAACATCAATGATACTCTTGCCTTAACAAATCAATGCTATTTTTAGATTAATCAAACGTCTACTTCAATGAAGATTTATCCTGTTCTCCTGTACTTTTCTAAGGACTTTTCTGATCACCAAGCTAAGGCTTAATGACTAGCATTTACTCAGGCTATCCTTTTCTGTCCTTTTAAAATTCATTGACCTGAAATGTTAACTTTAATTCTCTATCTAATGAGAACATGCTGAGTAATTCCCACACCCCCTTTAGTTATATTTCATGCTTGCCCAGAAAGATAGCAGTTTGATGTATCTTGCACTATATGGTGCTGCAAAGAGGAGTAGAGCTACAGGAAGAATGAGATGCTGATCAATTTGCATCCTCTTACAAGGATAGGAGCTTGTAAGGAGATGTGACCAGGATGCTTAAAACTATTCACCCAGCTACCAGAAAAGCCCACAGATTCACAAATCAACGCTGTTATCTCTGTGTGTAAAGCCATATAGCATTCGGATGCTATGCCCTCCTATTACAGCCACCCAAAAATCCTTCCATCACCTTCAAGCGCTTTGCTCATCTTCCACTCATCAGATTATCCTCCTGATGTTCTAATATTCATTTGGAATCCTAGTAGCAAGGATGGAGATGGCTGGACAAGGAAACTTAAAACGCTTGATGCATTAAAATGTTCATATTTGTATTACAAGACTGACATTTATAAAAACATCAATAAATCTTCTTGTGCAATTGAGACATCTATCTTTTTTGCCTTCATTACTTCGATATATGTGGTACTACCTTTGAGCCAGCAGAGACAGAGGTAGTCAGCTTGTTTCCTTGCTGTGGTAGTTGAAGTGCCAATGGTGGACCTACTTTGCATTTTAATTGTTTCCAGTTTTGAAGAGCTAATGGATGCAATGAATCTCTGTTGGGGCCCCATTAAATAGAAATCCTCCATGGAGTGGGTAGGTGCAGGTAGTCATCATGTCTACACTTGGTCATGAAACCTGGATGAGGGCTTGCTAACAATATAGTTGAAGTAGACAACTAAAGTAAAGCCTGCTTCACTGCAAAAACAGATTCTCAAACCACAGTTAAATTCTGCAGCTTTAAATTCTACCCCTTCACTGTATTTTTTCTCCAAACTTTGTGCCATTTTCCTTGGGAATTCATATTGGTAAAGTTTCACAACATTGATTTGGGATGTTCAAAGTATCAAATGAACATTTTCTGACTATAAAACATTCTCTTTCTTCATTCTTTCACGCCCCTCTGCAACTCCAAGATGGTTGGCCACAACTTCACCTTCATAGCATTTAACTTGCGTGCAGCAGAGAAGGCTTTGGAGGATGAAAATCAACCACATTTCACTCTCCTGACAAACTGAACAACCGCTAAAAGATATTTCATGCCTACACAGTAAGGATGAAAGCAAGAATCTACTTGACCTGATGACAGTTAGTATGATGTTACTTGTTAATGTGTACTAACTTCAAATGATGTAACAAAATGCATCTAACTCCCATGAAAAAACCCTTAGCTAGGGCACAGTTACAGAGCAAGCAAATGTTTAAGATTGATAAATGTAAATACCTGGGAAACGAGATAGGTCAAACATCACAGACTTATCAACATCAAAATTTAATAACAGGTGAATTGTGCAAACAGATGTGCAATGTTTGCATGATTAAATGCTCTATTACAGTTACCAACCTTTGGTTTTCATTACTGTTACCGGAGCTGAAGACTAGCGACCTCCTAGATGTACAAATTCCAAAACCAATCATTTGCTTCCACATCTGCATCACATTCAGCTTCAAAACTACACAGAGGAATGAATTTAACTCTTGACGGTCAGTGGTCATAGGCCACTAAATATAGTATTTCAGTCCGACATACCAGTAAAATTCCATATCTGGTCAAACTTAACTTGGAGTTCTCAGTCAAAAATCAGCTGGAGAAATATAACAAACTTAAGTGCTATTCATCGAGGGAGAATGGTGAGAGATAAGGCACGGAGGGTGGAGGTGGGCATGCTGTTCCTGGTCAATATCTAATACCACGTGCATTGGAAAGTCCAAATATAGATCTTGGGGAACAAAACAATGGGTCACGTCATGGTCTCTCTCACTCACTTTTTTGATGAATAACTTGCTAACACTTAACGTCATGTCAGCAATATTTATGAACAGTCACTGCATGTAATGCAGGGTTGCAGACACAGAATGGAATTCAACCAACAGAAGTCCCTACCTTCAGAA